CTTCTTGGCCTTTGTTCCTGTTATTCCCTTTGCACAAAATAGCTCCCTGAACGATTGTCACTCCGTATCCCACCAGACTTTAAATAGAGAAAAAGTCTCTCTCCCTCCCCGCAAATGCTAGGTCATTTCCGGTGTTCAATAAACAATAGTTGAATAAGTAAATTAAGTAAAATAATTAAATAAAGCCAACATTAACAGGGCCCTGGAGGTTGGATCAAGGTAGACATACAATTTTCTCTTTTTCCAATTTTAGTTACCCAATGAATATATGCATGTATTTTATTTTATTTTTCATTAGAACAAGCGAAATTAGGAAAATTTGATTGCGCTAAAGTTCCCTCTAACAACACCCTCAATGCTGGTTCCTTCTTTTAAGGACCAAACTTATGAGTTTGGTGTGTATTTTATCAGACTTCTATTTTGTGCTTTTATATATTATTGTATGTGTTGTATTGTTTGGAGGGAAGGAGAGAGATTTTTCAAAATGAAGTGGTTTCAGACTATACCTGCCACCAGTTCCTCTAACCTAACAATATGTTTTGGGATCTGTCAACTTGGATGTGCGCGGACACAAATATTCACTCCATGTTTCTCCGTGGGGGAGTGATTAGCATTCTGAGCGGGACAATTCTCAGTTGTTCAGGACTGCATCGGCCATCAGAGGGTGGTAATCATTCCTGGTGCCCCCTCACAATGTGTTGGTAGCACCCAACCCCCTGCCTTTAGCATTTGGCAACCAACAACGCTCTTAGCTTTTCAAACTCTTTCGGTTAACTTTTAACATAATCTCATCCTATGAGCACTCAGTGCACTGCACTTATCTGTCATCTCACTGTTGGTAGATATTTAGGATGGCTCCTAAATTTTATTCTCACAAACGCTCTTCAGTAGACACCTTAATTCACACTTCCTTCTGTGTACGTGTGAGTGTTTCACTAATAAGCCACCAGAAGTGGAGTCGCTGGTCATGTGTGCATGTCCAGTTACACTAGATGTGCTAAGTTCCCCTCCAACTTAAACACCTGCCAACAGTAGATGGTAATATCCAGGGCCCCCAAATTCTCCAGTACTTAATGCTAATCCTTCAATTTTAGCAGATCTGGTGGATTACAAAAGTACTGCATTGTTGTTTTAATTTGCATTTTTCTGATTAATAGTGAGACTGTTTATTTGAAATACATATTTCTTCTTCTGTGAAAGACTTTCATTTTCTCTTCTGTACGTGTACATATTTTAATTTTTACTACATATGCTTTATAATCAGAAAAAAATAATGCACACTTTAAAGAATAACTTACATATTCTTCAAGGCCTACTTAGATGTTGGGTCATTCAAAAAATGGCCTTGATCTTTCTTCCTATAACCCCCGCTGGATACTTTACTCTCTCTTGGATGTAGTTTGCAAAGTACTTGTCTTACCCTCTTGACTAGATTAATGGTTTCTTGAGGCTCGGCCTGGGTTTGTGTTTCCTTTGACCTGCCTAATACAATGCCTTGCACAGATTTGAGCTTAATAGATAAAGATTTATAAAGTTAAATGATAGAAGGTAGAGAAGGTTGACTGTGGGAAAACTACCAGCTGAATAAGACTGTATTTTCAACCTTTCACTCTTTATGTACACAGTCTTGAACCATCCTTACCAAAGATGGACATATTCCTGCAAAGGGTATGTAATGTTATTTGGCTTTATAGTCACTTCCCTGGAAGATATGCTAATCGGAAGTTCCTAGGAAAGGATGCTTAACTCAATTAAGACAGGGAGTTTAGGTATTTGTGGAAGAGTTGTTTGGGGAATGAGGGTCCTCATTGCCCTGCAGACATCATGAAGCGTAGGTGGCTGCCTGGCAGCCTCTGTCTTAGGTTCGCCCAGGCCCAGGACTCCACGAAAACTGTGACAGTGATGTTGACTCAACCAAGTGATGTTTCTCACCCAGAAATTAACACTCCCTGAGATGTTCCAAATTAGAGCACAGTGTGATCCTTCTTGCTTTATATTCAAGGATTTCTTATGTGTTTATGATATATAGCTACTGTTTAAAAGATTACCATAAAAAAGTTCTCAGTAAAAACTGCCAAGCGGGAATGATCAGAGTTCTGTAAATGGTTTAGATAGACATCAGATCTTGTTGAAAAGAATCCCAAGGAATGTTCAAATTCTTTACATTTTAGAATTTTGTTGATCAAATTTTGTTGCTTCAAGGGACTTCCCTGGTGGTCCAGTGGTTAAGAGTCTGTGCTTCCAGTGCAGGGGGCGCGGGTTTGATCCCTGGTTGGGGAACTAAGATCCCACACACTGTGCGGCCAAAATACATAAACAAATAAAAAATTTTTGTTGCTTCAAATAAGTAATCTATTGGCTCAAACTAAATGGTTTGCTGAAATGTTCATTCAAAAAATAATTACAGGCAAAATGTATTTAAGAACTTGTGACCTTGTAGAGATTTCACTTATCAAAAGGAATTAGAATTTTGTCCGTAAACAAACCTGACGTTTTTGAGAGCCTCACTTTTAGCTCCTCCAATTGTCCTTTTTTTTTAAAAAAAAAAAAAGAGGTATAATTGACATACAACATACTAGTTTTAGGTTCCAATTGTCTTTTATAGTAATTTCATTCCGTGAAGATTTGAGCATGTCTGGGAATTAGTCGAATGAATGGGTAAATAAGTCAATGGGATTTCTTATAAAATGCTTCACCTTGCCATTGCTTTCAGCTAGCAAGCACATTTCTAACACAGGGTGGAGGCATCTCTGCCCCAAAGAGGAAATGTGCTAAAGAAGCAGATATTAGCAAATGCAGATTTAGAAAACAGATAGCTCGGAGACCTATGTAGAAACTTCCTTCTACATTTAGTCTTACGTTTAATTTTTATTATCAGGTGAAAATATCGTGCCACAGGGACATCCCAGTAGGATCCCTCACCCCCAGAGCAGGGGTCTTCCTTGTACACCATGCACATTTCTTTAACAGTACTTAGTTCACTGACATTACCAATATTTGTGTAATTGCTTGTGTCCCCTTCCCCTCCACTGCCCTGGACTGTGGGTCCCTTGCAGCAGCTACTGTCCCCAGGACCTAGCTTCCTGTTATCTGCAGTAAGTTGAAAGTAATCAACAATTATATTTGAGCAACAAGAAAATCACGTCCCAGAAGATACATTGCAAGTTATGGCTTTGTGGATCTCAATGGCTTCGTGAAAACTCCTAATGTGTTTTGAGCCCTGCTGTTTGCCAAGCCTGTTTTGACCATTTCATATGTGTTAATGTGAACAGAACTTACAACTGGCCCACAGGGTACAACTGTTACTAATTCTATTTTAGAGGTGAGAAGACGGAGACTCGGATTGGTTAGGTAACTTGCCCACAGTGGTACAGCTAATAAGAGGTGCCACCCAGATCGGGACTAAGGCAGATTGACTGCAGAGCCCACGGTCCTCATCACCACACTGAACTCTCTCTACCGCTCATTAAAAAGAACAGGAAAAAACTGTCATTAGGAAGAAGGAGTGAGGTGCACAACAGTGTGCCTGGAATGCTCTTATTTCCATAGAACTGCGGTAGCGGACAGGCCTGAATGCGTCTAAATGCATGGGATACCTCTCAGGAGGAAGCACAAAAAATGGTTAATGTTGGGGTCCTCTGGGGAAAGGAATGGGGGACTGAGGATTAAGGGAGAGGAAAAAGCTTTATGTTCATTATGTTTTCTTTTGAACTACGTAGATTTTTTTTTTCCTACTGTGAATATATGTTACCTTTTCTGATGTGTTTCTGTTTTCTGGTTTTTATTTTTATTTTTTAATTTTTTTTTTTGGCTACATTGGGTCTTCGTTGCTGCACATGGGCTTTCTCTAGTTGTGGCAAGTGGGGGCTTCTCTTGCTGCAGAGCATGGGTTCTAGGCGTGCGGGCTTCAGTAGTTGTGGCACGTTGGCTCAGTAGTTGTGGCTTGTGGTCTCTAGAGCGCAGGCTCAGTAGTGGTGGCTCACGGGCTTAGTTTCTCCGTGGCATGTGGGATCTTCCCAGACCAGGGCTCGAACCCGTGTCCCTTGTATTGGCAGGTGGATTTTTAACCACTGCACCACCAGGGAAGCCCTGTATTTTGTTTTTTAAAACACACACATCAGTTTGAATGTCCTTGGGACTTCCCCAGCTGTGCAGATATTTGTCAGTTTAAAACACTATTGGATGGGGCTTGCATCTCAGTATAAAACATCTGAATTCCTTGTGCTCAACTTCATTTCCCTCATGACAACGGACTCTGATATAACAGCTCAGTGGTGTTCTACACTGCAAAAGGTGGTACCACACTTTCGAAAGAGAGTGTGAGAGAGAGACCAAAAGAAAGAGAGAAAATTGGCCAAAATCTATTCTTATGGTTATTTTTGACTTGGATTTTTAAAAAACTTTCTGTCTACAAAGTAAAGTGTGTGTTTGTTTGCTAGGACTGCAACGACGAGGTACCACGAAACGGGTGGCTTAAACAGCGGAAACTGATTATCTCACAGTTCTGGAGGCTAGATGCCCGAAATCAAGGTGTCAGTAGGGTGGGCTCCTTTGGAGGGCTGTGGAGGAGGATCTGCTCCAGCCCGCCCTCCTTGACTTGCAGGTGGCCTTCCTCATGTTCACATGGCATTCTCCCTGTGTGCAAGTGTGTCTCCAGAAGTCCCCTTTTCACGAGAGGACGCCAGTCCTATTGAATTAGGCCCCACCTTAATAACCTCATTATAACTCACTGAAGACCCTATCTCCAAATAAGGCCCCATTCTGAGGTACTGGGGCTTAGCACCTCAACAGGATACAATTCAACCCATAACACTCTGCGATTAGCCAACTCTCTCCTTTCCCCTTCAGCCTCATCCAGCAATTTCCTTTTCTTGATGTTTTGGCTCAGAGTTTGGTCTCGGGCCTCCCAGAGCGGAGAATATTGCTGAGAGGAAAAGCCAGTGCAGGAAGAGTCCCCCTGTGGTTCACCCTGAGTGAAAGCGCTGCTCTCTCCTCCACAGGTGGTACCATGGTAACCTCACTCGACATGCAGCCGAGGCTCTTCTCCTCTCCAATGGATGCGACGGGAGCTACCTTCTGCGGAACAGCAATGAAAGGACAGGGCTGTACTCTCTCTCTGTGAGGTAGGATGCCTAAGAACTCTATAAATTCAGTGGGGTCCCACCTCTTATTTATCGGGGCACTGACTCCATGGTCACACTCAGATTGCCAGAGAACCGAATTCTCTTGATTCCTGCTAGACCAGCAGGTCCCAGGATGCCAAGCTCTGAGTGGTGAGCCTGCAAAAAACATTCTTGCCCCTTCCATTGGTGGAGAAAAAATGTTAGAGCTGAAGGAGATTTTATGAATTGTTTAACCCAGAACTCTTGCTTGACTGAAGAAGAAACTGAAACCTGAAGTGGTAAAGTGTCTTCCACCCAATAAATCAGTGATAGAAACAGCACCAGAATCACATCCCTGAAACCTGGCCCGGTGCCCCTTTCACTATTCCTTGCTTCCTCTGGAAAATCAGAATGACTTGTGGCTGTGCAGTTTTCATAATCACAAACTCAAGCAGGCAGTATGCAACTTTTAGTTTTTTTCTATAAATGGACTGACCTTCTTTCTTGAATTTCCATTTCACCTATTAAGAAAGTTAATCTAGGACTTCCCTGGTGGCGCAGTGATTGAGAGTCCGCCTGCCAATGCGGGGGACACGGGTTCGTGCCCCGGGAAGATCCCACATGCCGCGGAGCGGCTGGGCCCGTGAGCCATGGCCGCTGAGCCTGCGCGTCCGGAGCCTGTGCTCTGCAACGGGAGAGGCCACAGCAGTGAGAGGCCCGCGTACCGCAAAAAAAAAAAAAAGAAAGAAAAAGAAAGTTAATCTAGTGCCCACCATGTATGCCCTGCTCAAAACAGTGATTGTCCTTCCAGGGTTTCTCTCCCATCCCCTTCCTCCTGGTTGGCCTCCCTTTCAGAGAAGGTGACCTAGTCACGTGATAATCGGGGGGAGTCATTTGTTAGCTGTCAGCATCTGTCACCTTGGCGTCCACTGACATGTAGCAAGTCTTTCTGGGTTCACAGGGAGTTGCCCCTGGGTCAGAATGGTGACGTGAGGACTCCATGTAATTGCCCTCGGCCACCCAGCCAATAACCTCAAACCATTCTTGTTTTATTTTATTTACAAATTTTCTAAAAAACATTTTTGGGAAAAATATTCACCAAAAATAGAATTCTGCTTTGGGGGAAACAGGAATTGTGCTTTCTCAGATCAACAGCAAATGTTAAAATTGCATTAAAGTGGTTAGATGGTTGATCCTTTATCGCATGGATCTCCCCCAGATCTCAAACAAATCTGTGCAATTGTTGGCTAAAAGAAGGTTAACTTTTCACTTTTGTATGTCTTGCCTGAACAATTATAAGCTCCTTACAAAGAGATGATATATATATTACATCTATATACAAAGTTAAAATATAAAATATTAATTTCCATTACAAGCACTTAGAAATGCTTTAAAAAATAATAGCCCCCAGCAAAAGTAAGAGGAATCACAGACCAGCTCAGGAGAATGATTGTTTTTATTCATTTGGTCATTCGCTTCCTTAATAATAAATATTTCAAAGCATCCGCTCTGTGCCTACCACTTTGATAAGTGCTGTAGAAGATTCAAAGACCTTGACATCAGGAAGTATAGCCTCACAGGGGCAATAAGACCATATCCAAATACCTTACTACAAAGTAGAGCGCTGTAAATGCCATGAAAGAAAACAAGGTAAGCGCTTGGGTTGTTGAGAAGAGAAAAGGCAAGTAACTCAAGCCGGAAGTAGCAAGCAATATTTGATAGAGTAAGTGGCATTTGAACTGAAACTTGATCAGGAACAAAGTGGAAGAAGTCACAGGTGAAGGGAGCTGTACGAGCTAAGGGACAAAGGCAGAAACTCCTAGGAGAACAGTAGGCGTGGTGGCACTGCAGCAGTTCCCAAGGTGTGGTCCCCAGACCAGTAGCATCACCAGAGAGCAGGTTAGGAATACAGATCTCAGGCCCCACCCCAGACCTACTGAATAAGGAACTCGGGGGGTAGTGTCCAGAAACCTGGGCGCTGCAGGTGATTCTGATGCTTGCTAAAGTTGCAGCATGCCCTGCAAGAGAGGAATAGTGGAAGTGAGGCTTGAAAGATAGGATTGGGTCAAATCAAGTATATATATATAAATTTTTAAAAATTTAATTCTCTGCCTTATTCCAAAAATGAAGTGGAGAATGACAATGTAGGAAATCTGATATTTTATTCAGCAGGCAGTGGAATAGGCATGGGAGGCAAAGGGCTGGGCTCACATAACTGATTAAGTGACAGAAGCAGAATTTGGATTGACTCCCAAACAAGTAAGGGAGGAGGGCCAGGCACAGAGAAGAATACGGGGAGGGAGTGACTTGCCATTTCTATCATCTCTCTTCCTGCCGTTCTTAAACTCATGCCCCTTAAGAGGTTAATGTTCAAAGACTCGTTCGGCAAGTCAGAGAATTCACAGGGAGCACCGGCTCTTGTCTTTCATTAGAATGAAAAATTGAGAGCACTCTCTGCCCGAAGAAACCAGCGCTGTTCTTTAAGTGCCAGTGGTTTCAGTGATGGTGTCATAACTCTCAGCTTTTAGAAGGTTTAATGGTAATGCTAATGCCTAAGGTTACATTCCCCTTCGAAAAAGATACTCGTTTCTTAAATAATGTTAAACATTTTTTTCCCTTTTAGAGCCAAAGACTCCGTCAAACACTTTCACGTTGAATATACTGGATATTCATTTAAATTTGGCTTTAATGAATTCTCATCTTTGAAAGATTTTGTCAAGCATTTTGCAAATCAGCCTTTGATTGGAAGTGAGACAGGTAAGCTATGAACAGATACTTGACCTGTGAGATATTGTTTCAGGATGGAGGCGGGACAAAGCGGGTTTCAATTAAATAGTTGTCACTTCTGTTGAATTATGTGCATACTATAGGCAACTGGATATGTTTAGGAACTTTTTTTCCAATTACAGTGCCATATGCTACATTAAAATATATATATATATTTCAGTATATAATATACTTCAGTATATTATATACTGAAGTATATTATATTATATATATATTTCAGTATATTATATTTCAGTATATATATATATATATGTCAGTATGTTAGTATTATTTTTAGGAGAAAACAATGTGCCTTGTGCAAAATAGGTATTTTTCTCAGAATGTGTTATTTAATGGATTGATTAAAAGCACACATTTCTTTAAAATGACCTATTTGTTTTATAATGATATATACAGTAAACAAAGAAAGAACAAAGGAAAGAACAACTTTTTGATTCCTCAGAAGTTTAGGTATGAGAAGTTTGCTTACTGGGGAGACCCAAAAATGATCATTTTGAGCAGTTTTTGAGCATTTTAAAATGAAATGCAATTTCCCAAAGATCATTGAATATTAAAAATACTGACTAGAAATTACTCTCCTGAACAATTTCTTAATTTCCTCCTAAAATTCTGTTTCTCTTGTCTTGGTTTCTGATAAGTTTTTACATGGCACTTAAGTATGGCTGGAAATAGTTTAAAATTTCCTTTCTGGTTGGTTAGAGTCAAACCAGAAAATTCAAGTTAAAAAACAAACACACTCGCTTGGTATTTAAATTATCTAACTCATTTGTCTATACTATTTAAATAAAGTAAAGGATTTCCTCTGTATTTGTGACATAGAATCACAATTTTATATGTCCTGAATTGTTGATGATTCTCAGTTAATCAAAAGTTGGACAGTTCCAAGAACCAAGCACAAGAGGAATTCAAACCTTAATAGCAGAGTCAGTTGCTGCGAATTTGTACACACTCATTTTCGTGGTAAACTTGGTGAGTGGGCTTTTTGTTGATCACACTGGGAGAGATGCCACCAGTGCCTTTTCCTTTTCTGCTATTTCTGTGGCCTGAATAGACCCTGATATGACTCACACAGAGTCAAGGAAAGACAGAAAGCACAGTGGAAACCACAAAATAGTTGACTTACTTTATACTGACCATACAAGGTCTTTGATAGATTATTTCAAAGCATAAAATTGAAGCAGTCATCTTTTTTGTTTCTGGTGGAAATTCTCCTAATCAACCCTGAAAATTACTTTATCATTTAACCAGCAATAATTCTCATAAACAAAGGGCAAGTGGTAATGATTTTATTTCCTTTGCTACTTTGGTCTTGGCAAGCATTTCAATTTCAAATCCCTTCCCTTCAGACTTATTTCTTACTTGTATCCCAATCTACACTCATTTTCGTTCAATTCTTGGTCACTGGCAATGGACAGGAGATGTTGAAGCCAAGGACTCTGTTTTGTCTACTTCAATTTTTGTCCTTCTCTGTGTCTCCCAGGTCCTGGTACAGTGCGTGGTGCTTTGGGTGAGTGAATGAATAAATGAATGAATGATGACTGTAAGTTGCAACTCTTTGTATCCTTCAAAGCCATTACCATCGTTACTTTCTAGCCTCCTCTTCTCTCGCCAAGCAAAATCAGCTCCCTTCTTTTAAACTCTCCCTCTAGACTCTATTTTCAGTATCTTTGGTCATTCTCCGTACTCCTTTCCAGACTTTCTCCAAGTTAGGAAAAAGTACATATTCTGCCTGCTAGCAAGTTTCAAACCCCCCCCCCCCTTTTTTTTAAAAAAGTTTTTTTGTTTTATTTTAAATTCTTTTTAATTGAAGTATAGTTGAAGTACAATACTATATGTTACAGGTGTACAATATAGTGATTCACAATTTTTTAAAATTTTACTCCATTTATGGTCATTATAAAATATTGGCTATATTCCCTGTGCTATAGAATATGTCCATGTAGCATTTTTTAAGCACAATAATTTGTACCTCTTAACCCCCTACCCCTATACTCTCCCTCCCCTCTTCCCTCACCCCACTGGTAACCGTTAGTTTGTTCTCTATGTCTGTGAGTCTGCTTCTTTTTTATTATATTCACTAGTTTGTTGTATTTTTTAGATTCCACATATAAGTGATATACAGTATTTGTCTTTCTCTGTCTGACTTATTTCACTTAGTATAATGCCCTCCAAATCCATCCATGTTGCTGCAAATGGCAAAATTTCTTTTTTTTATGGCTGAGTAGTATTTCATCGTGTGTGTCTATGTATGTACCACATCTCTGAGATCAAAGTGAATGCAGCACTTTCCGGTTGAGCTTTTCTGGCACTGATCCAATCACTAGGTGAAAGGATCACCTAAGACTGCACCAGAGTAAAGGCTCCTCAGATTACATTTGGGTCAATATTAAGCTTCCCAGCAAATAGATTCATCTGACGAAAGAAGGTTTGTGATTAATGCAATAGGAATTATAAAGATTTGTAATCCAGACACCTATGGGAGTTTTCTTCAAAGTGACGGAGGGCGGGTGGTGGTGGTGTGATGAATTCGGAGATTGGGATTCACATATATACACTAATATGTATAAAATGGATGACTAATAAGAACCTGCTGTACAAAAGAATGAATACAATAAAATTCAAAACTTAAAAAAAAAGCTGAAACTTGCTGTAGCCTTATCATCACTATAATTGTTATTTTATTTATTGCAAACTTAGGAAACTGAGATTTTTGCTCTCCATTGCCTCTCCTTTGTTCTATTCATTACCCAGTTGGGAATTTGTTGCTATTTAAACCCCTGCTACAGACCCTGAGTGCCAATAGATATGTACTTGACAAACTGGCTTCCGGCTCTTGAGTTAGATCCCAGTAACTCTGAAATATTCCTCTTATCTGTCCCTGCCAGCTGAAGGCAAAGCCACCAAAGCTGGGAACAAGGGGCAAAACCCATGACATAGGAGCTTCCGTTATGCCCCCTGAGAGTAATAGACCTCAGGAAACAAGATAACCTGCTGAAGCTATGATGGCTTTTAAGCCCAGATGGTCCTTGGAAGTCACGGAGTCAGCAGTGTGACCTATGAATAACAGTGAATGGAAACTGGGATTCCATCTTCTAAAAACAGATCTCTTCTTGTTCATTTAAGAATTGGTTCCTGGGGACTTCCTTGGTGGCACAGTGGTTAAGAATCCGCTTGCCAATGGAGGGGACATGGGTTTGATCCTTGGTCCAGGAAGATCCCACGTGCTGCGGAGCAACTAAGCCCTTGCACCACAACTACTGAGCCTGAGCTCTAGAGCCCGCGAGCCACAACTACTGAAGCCTGTGTGCCTAGAGCCCGTGCTCTGCAACAAGAAAAGCCACTGCAATGAGAAGCTGGTGCACAGCAATGAAGACCCAATGCAGCAAGAAAGAAAGGAAGGAAGGAAGGAAGGAAAAAAAAGAAAAGAAAAGAAAAGAAAGAAAGAAAAGAAAAGAAAAGAAAAGAAAAGAAAGAATTGGCTCCTGAAGAAAAGGGAACCCTCCCACACTGTCGGTGGGAATGTAAACTGGTACGGCCACTATGGAAAACAGTATGGAGATTCCTTAAAAAACTAAAAATAGAACTATCATATGACCCAGCAGTCCTACTCCTAGGTATATAGCCAGACAAAACTATAATCCAAAAAGATACATGCACTTCTTCGTTCATAGCAGCACTAGTCACAACAGCCAAGACATGGAAACAGCCTAAATGTCCATCAACAGACGAATGGATAAAGAAGATGTGGTCCATATGTATATACATTGGAATACTACTCAGACGTAAAAAAGAACAAAATAATGCCATTTTGCAGCAACATGGTTGGACCTAGAGATTATCATACTAAGTGAAGTAAGTCAGAAAGAGAAAGACCAATACCATATGATATCACTTATATGTGGAATTGAAAGTATGGCATAAATGAACTTATCTATAAAGCAGAAACAGACTCATAGACATAGAGAAATGACTTGTGGTTGCCAAGGGGAAGGGAGAGGGATGGACTGGGAGTTTGGGGTTGGTAGATACAAGCTATTACATTTAGAGTGGGTAAACAACAGGACCTACTTTATAGCACAGGGAACTATATCCAATCTCCTGGGATAAACCGTAATGGAAAAGAGTATTTTTTAAAAGAGTGTATATAGACGTATGGCTGAATCACTTTGCTGTGCAGCAAAAATTAACACAACTTTGTAAATCAACTGTACTTCAATTAAAAATTTAAAAATTTAAAAAGAATTGGCTTCCAGTGATCAGGAGACCTCCAGGCTGATGATTCCTTCTTCACCATCAGATGAAGTGTAAATTCTTATTAAAACTTTTGATCGGTTAAGGATCACCAGGGGAAGCATTTGTCTGCACGATGGATGAGGCCCTGCCAGGGTTCTGACCTCCAGATCCCCAGAATGGGAAGGGCTAGAACTGGGTATTTCAGGCCACTCTGCAGACCAGCCCAGACCCACTCAGGCCAGCCTCACCCTCCAGGGTCTGGGGAGTGAGTTTACTTAAGAGAGACTTTCTCACACTCATTCACTGGCAAGAATGGCATCACCTTTGAGGGCAACAGGGAAGACGTCCAAATAAACAACAACCGTACACTTTTGCCTCACAATTTTATATCTATTTAATGTCTTCAGTAGAGTGAAACCAGCATTCTTGGTCCTGGGTCATAAGAAAATATTTGCTCTCAGGATAGGTAAAAGTGTTAACCTAAAGGGATGAATACGCTTTTAAGATTTCTTTTTCCTATTTTATTCCTATTATTTAAACTCCCAGGATTTCTGCCTCCTAAGCTAAAGAATGAAGATCTTGTAAGCAAGGTCTAACCCTCCTGACAACTTTAAGATTCTATTATTATAATTTTCCCTTTCCCTTGTTGTAATCTACATTTAATCTCTCTAATCTGCATTAAAGTTTCCGTTCACTCTAATTTCTCCTTATGAATACCCACAAACACTCTTAAGATACTTCTCATTCTCAAAACCCAGTCATCTCCCAAGTATATCATAGAGATATATACAATGTACCCACTTGCTTTACTCTCTTCAATGGCCCATTTACCTTCTAACATATTTTTAATTCACTTATTTTTTTAAAACCTTCACACTCATATGTAAGCTCTATGAGAAGAGGGATTTTTGTCAGTTCTCTTTCCCTGTTATGTCCCAGCACCTAAAAGAATAAACACTAATCATTATCCACAACATTCTGTGGTGGGTATCCCATTACCAAAGCCCGCATTGCAGCTTTCATGGCAGCATCGCAACTAGTAAGCTACTGACAATTAATGTTTACTTCCAAAGTGTATACAAAGCATAATTTGAAAATGATGATTTGCGTTGTATGTACGCTCGGTAATGATCAAATTCAGACTCTGCCTTTCATTTGTAATAGTAAGAGGTTATGTAAAACTTCTATTCATATTTGTACAAGGCTTCTAAATTCAACTCAAATAGACTTGGAAATTTGAGACTTTTTTTAGTATGAATATGTTTGGTCCATTATTAATTTTTACTGTTTCCTCTTGTAACGGACTGAGTGTCATCTTGGAAAATGTAGATACCATTTCTCTTTACGCTTAAATGTCCAAATAGTATTAAAACAAAAATCGCCTTTCCCATTACCTTTTATTTATATTGCAATACTTTTGTACATGAAATTGTCTTGTACAATTTATTATAGGAATTACTGTGTTGTTACTTTAATCACCTAACTAGCATGAAAAAATATGGTATAAGTCAAGTGTGCTGTGTTTGTGCTTTACCCTTTATAGTAATTGGTTCTCAATTTTGAAGATCCTATCTGGTTCTTTCTTAAATGTCAAATTTCCACTTCTCTTTTTGTTTTGATGTGGGGATTCCCAACCTTTTAATAACTGCTACAGTTACTATTTTATTTTGCGACACCAGCCATTTTACCCAGCCAGCATTTTAAAATAATTAATTTAAAATTAATTTAAATTTGAGAATTATGTGACACTTCTGAAAATAATTGGTGACAACTTGGAACGTTGCCAAACCACAACCAAGAGTCATTTCTTTAGTTTATGTTTGCCAAAAATATAAATCTTCTTAGTTTGTAGAGGAGGTGTGTTTGAAAAAGCAAAAAGCAGGCAAGGAAGAGAATGAAACAAATCTTTGTGGAGTTTTACTAAGTTTGAGGTATGTTACTAGATATTTTCACATATACCAAGTTATTTAATCTTCTGGACTACCCACTATAATGTGTAAAGTGCTCCCATTTTCAGATGAGGAAATAAAAACTCAAAGATTTTAATTTATTTGCCCAAGCTGCACACATAGAAAGCATCAGAGCTGAGACTGGAATCCGGGCTAACTGGTTCTAAAGTGTGTGTGCTTTCCACTCATTTTGCTGTCTCCTGAAACTGGTGTCACAGTGACACCGAAATACAGTATCGCCACATCACAGCATGGCCTTGAACGGATTTGAATGGGAAGAATCCCTGCCACATGATGTAACAGAATGCTTGCAGGATACGGCAGG